CAGAACCTAAAGTTCTTCCAAATGTAAACATGACTCGTGCCTGTTTTTTTTTTACATACTAGTATAGAAAATATCATATTTATAATAAAATTAAATTCGGCAAATCAAAAGTGTCTAATCGTGTCTAGAATTATTTTCTTCATTAAAATCATCTGCTATGAACGAACATATATTAGTTTATAAACCTATGTAAACAAAAACATGACACGGACCTTGTTTACATAACAAATGTTTGGAGCTCATGAAGTTCAGAAAATATTTTGCATTTTTTTTAAAATTGTTTTCAACATTTAAAAGCCTGTACATCAAATTACCTGTACTATACATTAAGTTGACAAAAAGCTGTCAATTAAGTTGAGAACTTAAGAACAGGTTTTAAAAATCCAAGTCTATCATGCAATAGAATGTACTCAAAACACAAAGGATTACAGAACAAAAATATCTAAAAATGCTTATTTCCATTCTTATGTGGATACGATATATTCCGGTGAGGTTAAGAAAAAAGATATTACACATCTGTTTCATATTTTGATATTTTACTTGTAAAAGACGTTAATGGCAATCTAATAACCAAGCTTTATGAAAAACGGGATGACTTTACCTTTTCAATCGTCAACCTCCCTTATTAATGCAGCAATAATATTATATCTTTGACATCACCTGCATACGGTGTTTATATCTCCTAGTTGATTTGATACGCAAGGGCATGCTCTACACACGAACAATTTCTAAACAATGTAAATTATTGACAAACAAGTTGATGTTTTTTTTTTTTTTACAAAAATGAAAATTAAGAGCGCAAATGCAAAATGTGAATTTTGTTTAAATGAAAAGGAATATATAAAACATCTTATTTTTGATTGTGAGAATGTAAAAGGTGTATGGCAAAAGTTGAATATTGTTATGAACAATGATGTGCAATGGAAACATATTGTTATAGGATTCAACTTGGAAACAAATTCAAGAATTCTTTTTTGTAACACTTGTACTATTATATCATATTTGGCATATAAAACATATAAATTTAAAATGAAAAGCAGAATAGAAAATATCATACAAGAAAAGTCCATGTTATAAAAAAGCATTAGAGGTTCATCAGAAAAAGATATAGATTTCATGTTAAATTTGTCAAAAACAAACATGTTTAAAGACCAAGTTAAACTTTTAACAAATTTGTTATAACTTATATTTTGTAGTGTTTTTTTTTTCCTATGTTGTTTTTATGCTGGTTATCCTAAATACCCGGGTTAGTTGGCAATTGTAAATGGGTATTGATGGGAATTGTAAAATAAAAGATAAAAAAAAAAACATTGCCAGGTACTTTTGATAGAAAGTTAACATTCACTGACTACTTTTGGGAGATATAAAAACTTTTAAGAAACAAGAGAGAGAAAAAGAATCCATTAAGATCTTCTCGCTATAGTACTAGTATTTATGTTTGCAACGTCTTGAATGATGAAAAGGAATTTGCAAGAGAAAATTCGGTGTTCTAATCAACCACTTTGGGTTTTTCTACCATATTTAACCGTTTTGTTACCGAGATTAATTTAATCCACAATAGATATTTTAAAACCTATAAAAACGTTTCTACATTTTCATGCATTTCATTAAACGTGGTGATTTTCCTGAACGAAGATTGGAGATTGGGACTTAAGCAGGCCCAATCTACTTGGTTTGTGGATACGTTTTCCGCAGCGTTGTTTCAGACACGTTACAACTTGTCACTGATTGCCGTCACAATTGAATACAATAACTTCACAGGTTAAAATGACATCAAATTGTGATAAAATATTTAGCCATTCTTGCGTTCCTAGTACGTCTTGACTGTGCGTGTTGAAAGCCAATTCATTATGACATTTCTATAAAATCTTGCGTTTTAATAAATCAGTGGGTTTTTATAAATTAAAAAAAGTTTTTGTAAAATAATTAATTCAAGTTTAAAAAATCCTATAGGAATTTAATTGCAGTGGGTTGGTCAAGTGATCAAATCCTGTGAAGTCCTTTATAAGGGGAACACACAAAAACTTTGAATTAGCGCATAAGTGTAAATTATCATGTTTGCATTTCCTTTTCCTGAAGTGTCTTTTGAATTATCAAATAAAATGATTAGATAAATTAAACACACATCATATATCCATTGCAAGTAGTAATCCAAACAGAAAAGATATATCAGATCTTAATATGAACCGTAAAAAATTCATTTTTCCTCAAGGAAAAGTTTAGAATATCTGCAAAACAATGTCAGACGTCTGCTCAGGTTTGAAGTCACAAAAATGCAGTAATTATCAGTCAATCTGCGCTCAAGTTTTATTTATTATAGCATAGATCAGCATTCAAGAGTTATAACGACCATATTTTCTCTCTAACTTGAGAATCCTGATTTATTTAGATGATAATAACCATCTGCGGGTGGAATGAAAATACAGTTTTCATGCACTGTTTGCTTTGCACTACAATTTGGGACACAAAGGCATTATATTATTTTCATTTGAATTGAATCATTTATTTAAAAAAAATTATACATAAATTTCCTCAAGAAAATTTAATAATAAAAATTCATAGACTACTCAATAAGTTAATCGATTGTGTTTAGGTCAGTGGACTTTCAGATATCCGGACGCCAAATATCCGGATGCTTCAGTATCCGGACGATCTTTCATGGGAACGGAATTTTTAACGTTATTTTGTCTTGTTTAACTGGTAATTCAGATATCTGGACGCTTCACATATCCAGACAAATTGCCTAGGAACCAAATCGTCCGGATGAATGAAGCTCCACTGTAATACATATAGCACCTATTTCTATTTGTCAAAATCTGTCCAGATTCCATGTCAACTATTTTCTGTGCCAAGGCGAAGGACACTTCATTACATATCGCCTTTCAGATCCGCATGGCTTTGCTATTCGAGTGTAGTTGAGCATATGATTTTAAGAGCCTTTAAAAATAGAATGCCAAGTTAAAAAAAACAATGTGCACATGCTGCGTTCATATACCATAAAATTTTCAAATTACATTTCTTCACACATGCAACAGAGTTTAAATATGTTTTCCAATAAACTTTAATGTTGTATTACATATCATTATCGCATCTGTGTGTGGTAACAATACTGTGGCTGAGAGACCACTGTTGTGTAATAATTTAGCGACTTGTATTTTGTTCAAGAAACAATATTATCACAGATAATTCAATTTATGCCGCTATGAGAATTATTAAATTTTACACCCTCGGATAACCCAGCGCAGTCTGCGGGATATGCGCCTTTATCGCAGACGCAATCATTATATAACCTTTCATTGCGAAATCGCAACCCTTGGTTTTCTTGGAAGAGTTATCGTACGTTTTACGGATTTTAACGCAATCAAAATCCTTGTTTCTGTTGCATCATTTTTGGTGGAAAAAACCCACCACCCACCCTTTTGGGGGGTTTTGGTTTTGTATTATTTTGCTTTCTAGTCAACATTTGTATTTTTCTAATAACTTGTCGTACGTTTCTTGGATTGGCGCAATTGTTTGAACGCCTCCATGGATTAACTCATTTATGTTATATTTTATGCATATTTACTTGTAATCTGATATTTTCACTGCATGTAAATTTCTAGTCAGTCTCAGGGGGATCACACTTGTACCTTTCACATATGTACATGTATTCAGTATTGTTTAATATTAGGTGATCCCCCTTAATGATCTGTAATACATTAAATTAAATGACATAATTGACAAAACTGCATATCTGTGTTTGGTTGTTTTTTACTGCTCTATCAGGCTGATGTTTCTCATAGGAGGCATAAAACATTTTATATGTCAACAAGCTTCCCTTGATGCTGGTATATCTCCCCGCCAAATGTTTTAGTATTATTGTTTTATGGATTATATTTTCGCCCTTTAAATAAATGACATGTTTTTTTCACTAAAATGTTTTCAGCAAATTATAAATATTGGAAACAAACAGAACAATTATGTTGCCTTGGAATACCAGTAAGGTTTTAACATAAATATGTATTTTACGATTTTATAAATGTATATCGCGATGAATTAATTTCGGGGGGAAGTATATTTAAAAGGTCTGTATTTTTTACCCTCAAAGCATTTTCTTTTCGAGGATTTTTATATAGGGTTTTTAATGTAGGGGTTAAGAATTCAGTGTGGCAATTCCTTTTTTGAATTTGATTGTTGAAATATTAAACTTGTAAAATCGTCATATGATTTGAAGAATTTCCTACCTAGAAAGAGAACTACTATACGTTAAATTTGGTATAGCATTTACAGTTTCTATAAAATACAATTATAATAATGATCCTTTCAAACAAAGAATGTTGCTTCCTGTTTGGTCAGCTTGGATCAGTACATATTGTTCGTATTAAATATATAGCTTTCACTTCTTAATTATTAAAGACAAGGGGTAGATAGCATTCATCTTTATCCAACAACCGTTTAATGCAGGAATTCAACATCTGATGCTTTAACTTGTTTATGACAAATTAAAGTTTTAATCCTCAGTCTTTCCATCCTCAACTTCTCAAAATTATGTTACAAAATTATCACAAAATATGAAAACTCTGTCGTTTATTTCAAGTCAAGATATACATATCAAGTCGACATATGAATGTAAGAACGATTTTAAAATGTTGTAAATTTCAGGTTCATGTATACTTGAATAATGAGTTGAATGTCATAGCCAATGTTTTCTTGTCATGTTAAGATTTTGATTAAATCCTTCAAAAGATAAAAGTAAGGTGATACAGGACCACGAATAGTGCCCACTGGAATTTCGGCAGATTATTCGAAGATTTATTTTTTGAAGAGTAAATTGATGTTGTCATTTATGACTTCAGCATCCTTTTAATATCAACCTTTGATCTGGTGTACATTCGTATGTATTAAAAATAATTCATTGGCTGCAAAAATCTTTTATCTTTCTTTTTACCAAAAAGAAAGGTAAACAAATGTATTACAAACACATTTTTGAAATAGTGAACTCTTTTCTTTTGTTTTTTTTTTTAAAATATGTATTGCTGAATTATAACATTGCTAAATGTACATTTGTGTTTTGCAAAATTCAAAAATCGTTCTGTAAGCAGATCAAGTAATTCCAAAAAATAGCATTATACATGTATAGGAAATACCATCCTCTGAAATCTTGCTCGAATGCTTGGTGTTGTTCTTCACTGTAGCAATGTTTTAATCATAAATTCTGAGAAAATGTTACACATTTTAAACTTGCAATCTGACCTTCTGATAATTCTTTTTCAAATAGTATTATACCCCGGTATCATTTTTATACATATTTTTACTCTATTCAATATGTACACATATCATGTATTTCTAAAAATAATATAATGGACAGTGTTTTATAATTATTATAAGGAAGTAAATAAGCATCACTTATAAGATTTATACACAACAGACTGTGATTTTAAAATGCCGTTTGAAATTCATATAAACAGCATTTAATTCCATTGTATCTTCAATTTTGAATCCTTCATTTGTTCATTGAAGACCTGATCAAACTTCTCATTCTGTTCCTCGGTAAACATTGATTTCCAATCACCCACCTCTCCTGCAGTAAGAAAAACATTATATATATACACTGGGTTTCAAATTTTAAGGCTATTTCATTTAAGATGAAGAACACTTTTTTTTTACCTTTTCTGTAGATGAATTTCCAAATTGTATCCTTTTCTCTTTCTTTTACTTTATCAAAGGTACATTCATCATAAACAGCTTGAAGAAATGTAGGATCGGACGAGAATCCGAGAAAACTGGATATATGTTTCATCGTCTCCAAACCATTCTAGGATATTAATAAGAATATCATTGGTAATTGAAATACTTTCTTATAAAGTCTTCATAATACACAGCGCCAATATCTGTTTGGGATTTTGTATAGTGAAAAGAGTTAACTACAACGGAATGCCTTGGGACGTTAAAAGGTCCTGGACACAGTTTAAACTGATTTTTAAAACCAATTTTAATGTTTACAATTCCTTCCTAAGACATCATCTATTGATTGGCAAAAATTTGAACATCATTTGTTGATTAACAAACAAGATACAGAACTTTATAATGTAAACAAGCCTTGTTTTTGTTTACATGTATAAAATATCATATATATAAAACAAGATGACGTTCAGCAAATCAATAGTAACAGTCGAATCGTATTTAAAATTAACTTTTATTTGAAATTATCTACTTTGAACGAACATACATGTATATTAGTATATTAACCTGTGTAATCAAAAACATGACAGCAGCCTTGTTTATATAACTAAGGTTTGGAGCTCTTAATCTGTCTTGCATCTGGACAACTAGCGTTCCAATTTTTAATGATCATTAGAAAGATCGTAGTTAAATATTTGTAAAAATGGGAAAAAAAAATTGAAATCTTAGCTGAAACTGTGTCCATGCCCCTTTAATGAATGAACACAATATTTCTTGAACATACCTTCTTCATATCTTCGTAATAGACTATCAATATCTTCTTGGGATTTTGTTGTGCTGCTTGTTCCCATTCTTTCTCTCGTTCAAACCAACTTCCATAGTAGCATTCTGTTTAAAATAAAATAGGAATATCTTTACAATGAATTGAATAACGGAATTAATAATTTCTCAGATATTTACGCATTTTAAGTACGATTTATGTAATTTTGTATGCATATTGAGAGAGTGTAATGATGCATATAAATGAATTTATGTGATCTAAATGCACACAAGATAGTATTATTCTTATTTATGACTATTTTGTGTGAATTCATGGGTCTTGAGGTTTTTTTGTGGGTTTTATATTTAAGCGCCCTCTAGTTACGACTTTTAGCCTCATTCTTATCAAATTAACCTTTGGCTTCGAAAGGTGGATTACAAATTTAACCCAACTCCACCCATTCAATCTTGAATGTTGTTATTGTTGTAGAAAATATATGTACGACTTTTCTTTTGTATAAGGTTTGGGATATTTTTGGACCCCACCTTCTGCTGCATCCTGTAATTGTAAAAATCTGTAATTTCATTTGGCATTTGTTATAAATGCTCTATACAAACATACTTTTTTTTATCGTTTGACTTGCTGCAGAACAGAAATGCAAATGTGCTCTAGGTTCATTTGAACTGATTCGTGCATCAGTTCAGTATTTAAGAGCACAAAGATACAAGTTATGATCAAAGCACAATTAATGACACCACTCTTCATGTGGATCAATCATAAAATATATCCCATTCATTATAGCTTTTTATCCAACGTTTTAAAATATGATAAAGCCGAAGTGACAGCAATATAATATGGCAAAAAACTGTTAACAATTAACTGACCCTACCCCCACGTAAGAAATCTTCCAAGAAACTGTTCCAATCAGGGTGTACATAGTCTTTGACCACTGGATCTGTTGTGTAATGATGAAAAGCGGATACTGCGATGTCCTTGGGGTTTCGAATGGAGTGTAATATTTTTCCATTGTTATCTTTTGGAGTATATTTCACTGGAAGATGTGACGTCATTATACGAGGTGAAGGAACTGTCTCCAGTTCCTGAAGATCTGGAATAAACTCCAGGAATTTTTCTGTCATTTTGTGAGGGGTGTCCAGACATGAATTCTGAAGGCGGGGTACGATTGCATTCAGCCAATGGTTTCCTTTTCAAATCAAATAAAATACTTTGATGATTTCCAATTTCATCGCTCTCACTTTTATTATATATAGTATTAATAAATATGTAAATAAAATCAAACAAAAAGTGAGTGGAGGTTGTTCCTCATAGTGGTTAACTATTAAGCAGAACACATTACCTGATTTTGGATAGGAAATAACAAAAACGTCATCTTTTCTCGTAGTTAAATTAACAATATCTGCAATTCGTTTTCTGGCGTCCGTTAAGGTTTGAAATGGCAAAAATGCTGGAACTATTAGTCCGTCTACGCTCAACTTTTGCTTTGTCGTCATCATAAAATGATACACTAACTCAACAAAGTAATATATTAAACTGAAAATAAATTGGCGCACTCTTCTCTCAAAACTGCACGTCACGGCAATCTTAGTTGCTAACGAATTAAATTAATTTTCAGTTTAACTGTCCCACTTTTCTCTCACCCCTGCAAGTCCAGACGTACTGAAGACAAAAATAACAAGCTTAAATGCAGTTTCAAGTTCTTTATCATACGATGTCATCGGCCGTTCTGACCTGATTAAGGTTGAAAAAGTCCTACATAATCAACCTTTACTAAATTAAGCAATCAAGAAACATCCAATCATAAAATGTGTAAATCAGATTAAGGACAGTGTAACCTACCAGGATGTTTATCTATCTCCGGACATCGATACAGGAACAGTATTAAAACACTGCTAAATCTCAACTCTAGCCTCCATCTGACAACAAAAACAATAAAATAATCTATTCAAATTTAATAAAAAATCCAGTGAGAATTGCAGTGGGTCGGTCAAATTCTGTGATGTCCTTTATTAGGGGAGCACACAAAAACTTTGAATTAGCGACTAAGTGTAATTATCATGTTTGCGTTTCCTTTCCCTGAAAGTGTCTTTTGAGTTATCAAATAAAATGTTTAAATAAATTAAACACACATTATGCAGTGTATATCCATTGCAAGTAGTGGACATTTTCGGTTGGGCGAACATTTACAAAATAGAGACTACGGATCTTCAGTATGGAGCGCATTATTTAAAAAAAATATCTTAAGTAAAGTATACAAAGTATTTTAAACTGCTTTTTTATACCTTGAATGGGATGTCGTCATACATCGCTGAGGGGTTTTTAACATGAATTTCATACCATATGTAGATGAAGTACATCCCATACTACCCTGCCTTCTTAAAAAATAAAATTTAGTTGGGTTAATAAAATAAAATTGGTCCAAGAATTCCGGGCCCTTAAGAACTATTCTTGTTTGAGGGCACAGCCAAGCATTTTCGGTGAACACCATTATAAGAAAGATTAACCCAGGTAGGTAAAGCATCTTTTTTCCAAAGTGAAATGGGGGGGGGGGTTAGAACAGCCAGAAAAAAATAGACTACTAACAACTCGAAGGAACATGACAATTAAAAAAGGTTCCAATATCTTTCATTACTAAATTTTATTCATTAACTGCTTTTTTACTACAACTAAAATGGGATGTGTGTGTGGGGGGTGGGGGGGGGGCAATGTTCAATGAACATTTCTAACAGTAAAATGTTTTTTAACATTTGGGGAGCAGGTCCCCCTTGCCCCCTGATGCTACGTGTCTGTTCCCTCACAAGTAGAAAAAGGTGAGTCATTCTTAACAATTCATTCCTAGCATCTCGAAAATTTTGTGAAATGCGTTCCCAGTATTTCATTTGTCGGAGTAATGCTGTCTTCAGCTTTCGCATCACACGTGTTTTTTACTCGAAAGTTTTAAGTCTTCTGATTCAGAATTTGAAGCCAAGATTTACAACCACAGATTATCTCCAAATTTCTCTTTCAAACTAGCCCGGGCCAATGTTTATAACGTACTTGCAAAACTATTCATATTATTTTCAATGGGTCAGAAATACTGTGGTTCATATATATAAAGAATATATACATGCATATATCATTTAGTAGACTAGTATAACAGTTTTGGCATTCGGTTATTTGCGCAGATGTAATATGGTATTGTATGTTACTGTATTCTTTTTTTGTTTTTGTTTTGAACCATTAAAAATGCGGAAACGAATGTACATGTATCTAATAACCATAACCATTTTGATTGATAAGATTATATCATTTGTTTATATTTACATTCAGTGTAATTTTCTTTATTAAATCTATTAGAAATCCATGACGTTCAACTTTCTATAACACACGCGAAACCTTGTCACAGCGCGGTAGAATACACAGAAGGAACAACATCACAGTACATGTATTTTCAGTATTTAGGAATATCAAGATGTATATTGTTTTGACTCAATTTCATTAAAAAAAACTACCCTTGTAAAATTAACATAAAATACGGCGAAAGTGCATTAAAAACTAATTTGTCATTTTATTTCCTCGCAATGTTTATTTGCGTTATTTAACTTTCCGACGTCACAAACGGCTTTTCGACGTCACGACCGGCTATTACGTTTATCAAGCTCGTCAATACCCAAGGGCACTAAATTCACATTAAACATGAAGGAAATAAACAATTCTGATAAAGAAAAATTAGAGAATGTAAATTTGTCGGCACGGCCAGGTGTGTTATAGGACCGAAGACATCCCAAAATATGAATTTAATGGTTAAAAGAATACACGCTATAACTTGCGCCAATTAAAATACGATTGGAAATTGATACAATTTGTTTATCAATAAAAGTTACGAAAATACTGAAAATTACACCATTAAAATTAAACGCGTTACAAAGTTATCAAATTATAAATATTTATTATCCTGCAAGGAAAGAAAAATATCTATTTTTAAATAAATCCATCACGTGACGCCGTCGCTACTTTTAGATTGATAAACACACGTGGCGTAAAGAAAACAAGGTAGGCCGTTTGAGATACTACTCACTTTTGACGTGGATGGCAAGCGTCTTACTCTTAATGGTACTTATCTTTTAATGTATTCAGTATCAACCATCTTCTCTTTTATGACTCATATTGACCTTA